CATCAATGAAAGTTATTTAAATCGCCACTTTTTTCTTATATATACTTCTCAATTTTAAAATTAAATCCTCTTCTCAGGAAAGGCAGGGCACTTTTCAAACAAATATAAACTATATAATAATTATAATTCAGTAGTTCATAAATTATCAAGAAATAAGCATTAAAATATCAGAATGATTCTAATTAAAATTCTAACAACATTGCTGGAACACTTTTACAATTATAAGTTAGTCTAATTATAAATGAAAACTTCTACAGTTACTTTGTTTACTTTTCAAATGTACAGAGTTAGTTATGCCAAGTTTAAAAGGTATTAAACACTTTAATGCACAGTAATGGTTATGAAAATCAAAGATGAGATTAGCCTAGTTTTCATTTCGCTGCTGGTTATGAGAAATTGTCTCTTTTATTCTGTCTTCCACGAGTTAGCTGAAGGTGCATATAACAACTTATGTTGTTTGTAATAAGAACTGACAACATCGTATTTAATAGAGGCTGGATGCTGTCCTAAGGGTTTTACTTGTATTAACTCATTTCATCCTCATCCTATGTATGAAGCTGGAACCCGCAGTATCTCCATTTTACCGACCAGGCTCAAAGGTACAGACTGCACAGTGAGGGACTAACAAACTGGGAATAAGCCCCAGGACAGCGGTTCTCAACCTGTGGGTCGCGACCCTTTTAGCGGTCGAACGACCCTTTCACAGGGGTCGCCTAAGACCATCCTGCATATCAGATACTTACATTATGATTCATAACAGTAACAACATTACAGTTATGAAGTAACAACGAAAATCATTTTATGGTTGGGTCACAACATGAGGAACTGTATTTAAAGGGCCAGAGGGTTGAGAACCACTGCCCCAGGAGCTTCACTATGCAATACTACCTCTCCTGTGGCTTTCTATGGGTTTTCTGTGTATGGAAATACTTGAGGCTTTTGCCAATTATTTTCCACATAGTTCTAAACCTCTAAAGATAGGTAATACATTCTTTCATCTTTTTTGTAATACATTCTTGCTATTCAGCCTCATCATAAGCAATAACTCTTTAGTATTTGCCTTATTATTGGAAGAGACACATAAACCAATTTCAGTTATAACCAACCCTCAGGACCCAGTTACCTGTCAAAGGGCTGTATTTTACGGTCAAACATGAGTGTCTCTCCCAAAAATATGGTGAAAAGTAATTTAGGTTAAAAAATAAAGTGATTCAAAGTAGACTAAGCAACCACACACCAAAAAAAAAGTTACATGTCTCAGTCCATCTCCTGAGCTGAATTTCACCCTTATGGAGTACCAGGAGTGAAGTACTTATCTTTCACTAACATCCTACTTAAAGTGCTTCCAAATGTGCCCAACGTTCTTTGGCAAAGCCACTCTGATATTTTCAGGTCTTTCTTAAGTTAGAACCTCATTTCTAGGTACCAAAAATCAGTATTTTTTAAAAAACTTATTGCAGTATAACAAACTCCCAAAAACTTTGGGCTTAAAAAAAACATAACACAATAATAAGCATCCATTATCTCATGTTTTCTGTGATCAAGAATTCAGTAGTGGCTTCGCTGAAAGATTTTTATTTGGGGTCACTCATGAGGTCTCAGTTGAGGTGGCAGCCAGGGTTGTAGTCGCATGAAGGCTAAACTGAGGGAATAGGATCGATTTCCTGAAGGTTCACTGATATTGTCTGGAGGACTCAGATCTCCCCATGTGGATCTCTCCACGGGCTCCTTAAATCTCCTTAAGATGTGGAGGCTAGCTACCTCCAGAATAAGCAATCCAAGAAAACAAAGGGGAAACCACAATTTCTTTTATGAACAGCTACAATATCATATATTCAACATCCAATTGGTTACCCCGGTCAGCCCTATTCAGTATGAAGACACTATACAAGCTCATTTACACCAGCAGGTGGGAATCACTGGGCATCGTTTTGCAAGCTGGCTACTATATTCCTTATAGGGTTTCAAGGGCAGTAAAGGAATTAACATATGTAAATCACTTAGAACAGTGCATGGCTTACAGTAAAGATTACATACTGTGTTTGTTATTGTCCACGTTCTGGAAAGAGATGAGTACCTGTGGAAAAATTCTCGTAAGTCTCCCATGGCCCAGTTCCCCCATATGTTAAGATAAATGGATGAAAGCTTTCTAAATCTTCCTCCTTCTAAATTTATATTTATCTGACACACTTTCACTTAATGAGATAAAATTTCCCGAATATCAGATACAGGAAGTCAGTCTTTCTTTATTTTTATTGTTGACATTATTTCCCCACCTTTGCCCCCTCCACCTAATTCTCTCCCCACCCCCTTCCCGCTGGCCATCACTGCACTGTTGTCTGTGTCTCTAGGTTATGAATATATGTGCTTTGGCTAATCCCTTCATCTTTTGTCCCTTCCCCACACACCCTTCTTTCCTCTGACAGTGATCAGAACGTTCAGTGTATCCATGCCTCTGTTTCTATCTTGTTCATCCTTTTATTTTGTTCATTAGATTCCACATATAAGTGAGATCATTCATTTTTGTCTTTCTAGGACTGGCTTATTTCACTCAGCATAATAATCTCTAGGTCTATCTATGCTGTTGCAAAAAATAAGAGTCAGCTTCTCTTTTATGGAAAAAGTATGCTCTCTTCTGAGAGACAACTACTAGAAATTGATTTTGTAAGCATTCACCTGTCATTAAGTCTCCTGAAAAGCAATGCTGTCCATCACTGTTCATACCATAAAATATTCCACAAAAAAGCAAATATTCTATAATTATCTGGATAGACTTGATAATTGCAAATAAAACAACTGCTAACAAATTATTGTGAGGAAGAAAGGTGAAAGCAAAGGTTGCAAAACATAGCAATATGTAGAGGAAAAGTGTGATTTCTTCTAAAAGCTTTGGAAATATCTAACAACACCTGCATACTCTATCCTGAAAATAATATAACCAATGGATTTTAATCGCTAGTAAAATATTCTGTTTCCACACAATCAAAGGAGACTAAGAAAAAATAGCTATCATTTTGTAGAGCTTAAAAAGTACTATTACGTGGAAAATAATCATATTTATTCTCATAATAACCTTGTGAGATTGAATGGCACAGATACACTCATCTTCAAAAAAAAAGAAAAGAAACTGAATCAAATTGAAAAAAAAAACACAAAAAATAAATCAAACAGATTAATAGGTTTTCCCAAAATCACATAGTTTTGAGTGACAAAGACACGTTTCTTGAATATGTCAAGAATTTTCAACTAAGCCATGGTATCTCTATAGTGACACAATAGGAATGTGCAATTTTTGCTAATATCCTAGATAATAAACTCAAATCTAGTTGTTTTCAAAACTCTTAAAAAATAGTATGGACAGCTAAATCAAATCATTTAAATAGCTCAATGTGAATTCCTTAAAGAAGGGAGAAGTACGAAAGGTCTAAAGACCCAAAAATTAAATTAACCAAGGCCAAGAGATTAATGAGACAAAAGATCAGGAAAAGGACAAAAACCCAAAATAGGAACTGGTATCCTCTTTGATTTATATTTTTAGTATCCACAATATGACTTGAACAGAAAATCTTCCCAGAAGCAACTCAGTTGAAATGTGATGATGCCGTGTTGCTGAGAAATAAATGTGCGTTGGCATGTATGTTGGCATGCATCTGTCTATCTGACTAGCTGGCTAGCAACACATGGACAAATGCATGAACGAATCCCAAAATGATTCTGTGACAGTTTACAAATATGCATACATTGCAAAATATAAAAATAAGTGCATATGGAAATTTGAGAAAAAGGGAAATAAGTAGAAATAAAAGTAAAGATGCAGTATATGCCCTGGGTCTCATAATTTTGTGAAATGTAGGCCACAGGTTTGACTATAAGCTTCCCAGCAGTCAGGGTGAAAAGGAGGATATGATTAGATACCAATTCAATATCCATCCAATGAAAACAGATGAATTTCTCAGTAGATGTACAGCAATTTCTGGTTGCAAAGCATGAATAAATTACTTCAGATTCTCATGAAGAGGATACTGTAGGTTGTACAGATACGGATGCCCTTGCCCTTGGGATGCCAGAAAGACAGCATAAAACAGAATCTGACAGAATACCACGTATGGGAAGCACTACTTTAGAGGCAGAATTGCCAGAGTGGAAATAGACAATTCATCATAATTGTCTGAAAGATAAAACCTTCACAGATGAGAAAGTTTCCCAGTAAAAGTAGAACCACAGTAATCGAATCTCCTAGGTGAGCCTATTCTCCAGGAAATGTCCCTACAATTAAGCTGGTCATAATTCTCATGCAATTTTTTCCCCACTGTAGAATAATAAGCTGGCATCTGGCTTAAAAATCAGTTTATTAATGCCAAGCTGACTCTGGGCCCTTACAAATCTCCCTTCCTTTTATCTACCTAGTATTCCTTCAAAGAACATCACTGAACTCCAGTTCTGAAATTCACTTTTTCCAGCCTGTTCCCCTCAGATCTGGTTCTTGCCGTTTGGCCTGTTTGAGCTTAACTTGACACTTATCCTGGGCCTGATTTGCTAGTCTGCT